TAGTCTGTGGGTAACCAGTCAACAGTTTAGTCATCCACCCAGAAAGATCGATACACACAAGTGGGATTGCCAATGACTGATCGATTGGATCACGCATGGGCATGCGTGTTTGAGGGGGTGGGGGGGGGGGGGATTTTCTGTCAGATTAATTCATGTTCTGCACGGGAACGAACGCTTGTGTTTGTAGTCAGAATTGTTTATCTGTGCTGTTGGTGCACGTATGTCTGCAGGTTCTGGCAAGAGAAGTAATATTGACATCTTAGATCCGCGGACACACATACACACACACATTGAACAACAATACATAGACGCAATCAGGTGAATTGTTTCACAACAGTACACAACTTTTACCCGAATCGAACTCTCCTATTATGTTAAATTCCTGCCTTAAAAACCTACCTATTGTGTTCGACTAACAAGGCCTTTCTGGAAAACAAAACTGGATGATCTGAGCTATTGGACCCTTTTGAATAATTAACTACACCTGGTCGCAACCCCTAAACGTTTCATATTTATCCACGGGATCATTCTGCGCATCATAGATCACGCACGCAGAGAGCAGCGTACAACGATCCACGTGTGAACTTTTCTTCTCTGAGGAGGGGGGGACACCCAGGGGCATCAAGTGAGATGCCGTTTCTCCTGAATGTTTAGCAGAAAAGAAGCATCTAATTGCAATCAAACAATGTTAGAAGTTGTTCTACTAGTCCAATTGAGTCACGAAACATTTTGTTTGATCGGCTCAGGCGGTACGAGCGTCAAGGAACAGCAACCCATGTGGTTTAGGCACGGAGGGAACGGGGCTCGACAAGGTCAGACATGACCAAAATTGAGCAATGCGGCGGATACTAATTCGGCTGTCATCATCATTTACTGCATCTCGTAATATAAATCCAAGGCTGTTAGAGATAAAACGCTAGCAACAGCCGGGGCGATTACCATTTGCTTGTTGAAACCGGAATTGTGCTGATATCATCATCCCTGTATCCGTATCTAATCAATCAGAACTTGCTGCATGCAACACAAAATTGTCCCTCCTCATTACGCTTTCCACCTTATCTGGCCCCAATCTTAATCCCCAAAAATGCTTTAAAATTATTTTTACTTCAAACTGTTCCCATCTCCCTCCAAAATGTACAGACTCAAGGAAAAGTGATGAGCAGGGTCAGCCATGTGAACTACTTAGGTGCCACACTTGGAAGTCACATTCGCTTGTCTTTAAATAACTAAGCCGTTTCTCGAAAGTTGAATTCTCTTCTTTCGGATAAGAGGATTGCCTCAGTTCTGTTCTGATTTGTCGAGGATGCAACCTTGTATCCAAAAATATATTCTCATTGTATCCCCTTACTTACTGCTCCTCCGTAATTTTTACTGGTTTGTTGAAGGCTGATTTCAAGCTACAGAATCATGGCCTCTCAATGATCAGCCGTGTTTCCCTAGTTCCTTTATCTGTTCCGATTGACAATACCTGTAATGCTTATACCGATGCGTGCTTGAAGCTTGCTGATAATATTCTATCTGATTATATCCATGCATCCATGGCCTATGCGCATGCGAATCCCACCCTGCCACCCGTTCCAGATACAGACTCATCCCATCTGGGATATCTGCCTACAGAAGCTCTTGGATGCCCAATCTTGTCTGAATACTGACCGATAAGGAAAGCGCTCTTTCTGAGCTTTCTAATGCATTTAGTAGTTAATTCATACTTTTGCCCCCCTTGATGTCCGGCTTTTTGCCCTGTTTGCCAGTATTGTGACGATGGTCTCTTTTTGATTGAAAGCTGGTATATAGCTCGCTAAAGCCTCAATGTGATACGATACAGTACAACTCAATACAGTTTGTTCGGGGACTAAAACTTCTCTAACCCAAACTGAACATCACGCGTGAGGGTTTTGATGACCCAAACCAGTTGTCACCAACGTTTACGCAACCCACTCTTATCCGAACAAGAGAACTATGAAGACAAACTTGTCCCTACCACAGCACTCTGCTATCATTATTTGCCCTCGACCTTTTGACTCCAACACAGATCAGTCTCCCCATAATTTTCTAACATAAATATGATCGTAATGACTTGAGAATAAACTCACGGAAAAGATATGTTTGCCTACAATCTAGGTTCTTTGTATATGATATGGCCAACTGAGTGTGACTGTGGTAGTTGCAATAGAAATATCCCTTGTTTGAAGCTACGGTGCAAAGGTTGAACTGCTGTTTGAGCAGATTTGATTTCAAAGTCGTTAATTCATGAATATATAATGAATTTATCCCTGTCTGATAAGCAAAAACGAGCGCCAATCGACACTTATCTGTCTCATATAACCGATATCTTCTGATCATGTACCACGTTGATTTTACCGCCCACACACTAAGAACATGGAACCGTTGTTTCGTGATACGCAAAACTTGGCCTCTTAGAGGACCAGGGTTGGCTCAAGTGTTTGTTCCTTCATACGCTACCTATCCGGTGAACAGTCTGACTGAAAAAAAGAAAACCTGGTTTGGATCTCACGGATGGAATCAGAGTCTGAGAATAATATGACTCATATGAAATCAGCAGCGCGGATTCGCCGCTATATCCACTGTTGATTAATGTGCGCTACAGCTAAAATCAGCACCTATCTGTCTTGTCATCTGTGCAACTGTTGCAAACTTTCCTTCGTAACCCTTATGTGAGGCACCCTTCAAAACGGTCTTCAACATCAAACGCAAGTGACTCTGTGACCCCGGAAGAAATGCTCCAAAATATCAGCTAACTGTTTGTATATCCACATAAATGTCAGTATTTTGACAACGACCAAAACGGGCGCTGGGTTTGACCAGTAGCAGCTCGTGATCATGTGACTGGATGTTCTGATCTCAAGTTGCATTCGGTTGTCATATTTTCTTTCATGTTCTTTTTCAGGATGCCAACTGGCATTTATCACCTTCATTCTTTTTATCTATTCCGGGTTATAGGGGTCTAATTTTTGATTCCGGGAACTCGATTGTCAAAAGTGACAAACAAATTAGTACAACTCACTGTTGACCTTGAACACATGTTGGACAACACTCTTGATCGATCAGTGAAACAAGTTTCGATGCACAGTAATACTGTGAAATGGTTGTGTTAGCAAACGGCTTTCTAAATCAAAGATTGTTGCACTCTTATCACGCAATTCAAAAATAAGCATAATATAACATCAAAAATTTGGACAACGCACACATCCTCTTGTAATTGGTTGCATTTGTCACTCTTCCTCCCCCACCTCCACCCCCGCCCCTACCTCCTCCTTCACTCCAAATCCCAAATCCGATCCACTTGGACAGGAATCGAAGTGCAGTCTGCCACAATGGAACATGGTCTTGCGCTGGACACTTTCAGTACAATGTGAATAGTATTGACAATCTGGCTTGCTGATCGGACTTGTTACGAACACGGTGGCCCTGTGTGACTGGACCCCCGTCTGCCTCCTCTTTCTCTCTCTGTTCCGATGATCGGGTCTTTCCCACTGTTGTGTGCACGAGTGCATGTGGACACATCGTGTTTGCCTGTCCCCATTTTCATTTCTCTCCGTTTCGAGGCTTTTCGACGACTGTGTTCCCCTGCATGTGACATTCATTATTCCGAACGCATTTGCTTCCTTTTTTTCTTTTGTGAATAAACAACTGCCAATGTCTGTGTGATGCAGAGGGGCAAAAGAGTTTCGTAGTTTTCTTCCTGTTGCTAGTGTTTTCGTGGTCATCGTCATAGTCGTTGCACTCACCTACGCATCTGGTAGCATGGCCCCGTCTCGAGTGAATCGCATGAGCCGTTACTCGCTCCCTCAATTCCCTGTCTCATACACATATGAATCCGAAATCTCACTGCCGTCCCCTTCCTTTCCTCGTCCGTATCCACGATCTCGTTTCCACAGATGCGGATGCGAAATCACAAGAGCCGGTAAATGGAAAAGGTAGGTGGAACTTTTATTTTGATCCACGGATTCTGAAATTTCCAGTTCCGTTAAAAGGGTACCGAGGGGAATCGCGGNCCCCCCCCCCCCCCCCCCCCCCCCAGTCGCGCCTGTACCTACTTCGTTGCGCAATGAGATTCGAAGTGTTTCCGAAAACGTTATAGTCACGGTAGTTTAGAGTGAAAATTAGTGGTTATTTGTTCTTTGCAGTAGGATGGCAAATATGAATTTCGCTTCGTCAAGTTTGGGAGAATGTGAAACAGTTAGACGGGCTACCCAATGATCATCACTGTTCCAACAAGTAGACCAGAACTGTCTTCAGCTTGTCAGTTTACATTCCGGGAGTTTGCCTAAATATGAAAATTGATTAACAAGAAGCTATTGATTTTTACCTATAGTTATACNTACCACACTGAAAAAGCGCGAAAGAATGGCGATGTCGCTAGCGGTCGGCCCCGGAGACCACCCCAAAATGGCTCAAGGTCAGTGGATGCATACGGTTGTTTTGCCCTAAATGCTCTTCTAAGTACGCTCTAGTTGGGCCCAACAGTCAGAACTATGGATAAATCGAGAAAGCCCAGTGGATATTGAATGGAAATTTGTAATTAAAAAAAACAGCAACATGGAGTAGATTAACTTATTTCCTGCTACCTGATTTGATGGGATCGGGGTAAGATTTATTACCTACTATAAGCATAAGAAAAGCCCATATCGCAGTACTACATGATTTATAACCGAGGAGATTTCATTGCATCTCAACATGGTGCATACTGCAAAAACTCAGCGCCTATCTAGGGCTTTTATAGTGGCAATAAAGTAAATTAAACACAATAAACCAGACAAATATAAACGCGGAGAGGGTGAAAGAATGCCCATTTCGCCATCACGAGGGACAGGCTAACATTAAAGAGGTTCTTTCTGTTGAAAAAGGGTGGGTTAACATCGGTTGATAGAACTCGCTTCAGCCAATCTCAGTAACCCTGCTATTTGTGTCTTGTGGACTAACCGGAATGCTATGCATCAGCTGACCTGGTGTTGCATCATCAGGAAATGTCGCGCTGTCGTCAATGCTGTATTCTTGCAGTCTTCATCGTTGTTTCAGCAAAAATAACCTCGATCGCGTCATCTATCCCAGAACCTAAATTTCCAACCACCCGGTTTCGTAACTATCGTTCTGTTCCGCCCATATAGGTCATTCCGCACTCATATTGGAATTGGTAGATAAGTCGCGCAGTACAGCGATATGGTCTTTTATTGCGAAATTGATCCCGCGAAAGGCTCGCTTCGCTAATATGACCCCAGTTACGAGGCAGATGCACTCAGTAGCGTGTACAGTTTATTGTCGCAAATATTGTAAACCCATTGAAGGATAAGCTTTATTTGGAAAACTGTATCGCAACATGATAGTGACTATGGGAATAATCAAATACATGTCCTGCGACCATCGGAAAATGAAATATGTATATTTATTGAAAAGTGAAGCAATTTTGAATGCAGGCACGATAGCAGCACGTCGGAAACAGAACTGTGCCCCAAGAAATCTGTCACCGCTTGTATGGTTGACTGTGTGTATCTGTGTGTCAAAGATAACTAATGTAGAAGGAATGTCTGACCGATTTTTTGCAAGTGTTTTATGGATTTGACCTAACAATTGACACGGAATAGTTGACAGCTAATTTTCTACTGTGAGACTCATTGTGTGTGTGTGTGTGTGTGTGTGTGTGTGTGAATTAGTGAGATTAGAATACAGTCACTTGGATGAAATTTGCCAATATGATCAAAAAATGAGGTCATCGTTCAGATTATCACAAAATAAGTGATGTTTACAATCCAAATCTGGAAAAAATCATTTATGAATAGGAATAGTTATTGTGAACTTAGACACCTGTTTTGAAATTTGAAGTTATTTGAACCCTTGGTTGAATCGATCCCGGGTATCACAATTGGAATATGGTCGTGTGTGATATGTGTGATTTTGATGAACTGTTTGAACCAAAGGTGACAGAAACAACGCTGGATGCTTCTAGGTTAAATTTCTCTAATCGTCCCACCGAGATGTAAATCAATCGGCGGGATCCGCGTACACCCACATCAGTGTTAGTCTATCAGTCCGAAAATGGAGTTGTCTTCGTTAAGCCCAATAATTTTCCCATCTGATGGATTGTGTAGTCAAAACGCTACAAAACGCTACTCTACCTACCTAGAGTGAACATTTTGTACTTAAACTAGTTTTTCCTTAAGTTTGGTGGTGGTATTAGTAGAATCCAAACTGGTTTCATTGATAGTTTTATTTTACCCTATTATTGATATGTCCTTGATAAGGTTGGTAAGCCTTTCGAATCAAGGCGGAAAATTGTGTCGTACACCAAAGCGCTTGCACATGCATATTACCACTCAGGACATAAAACGCGAACAGCGCATCCGGAAGAGACGTATGACTGAAATACCACCGGTGCAGTAAAGACAAAAATAGCACGGATGAATTCCATCTGCCCCTCTTTCCACCAACACCGGGAAGTCTCAAAGGAGTGAAAATAAACTTTGTGATTATCATATAATTCTTTTCTATACGAAAAGATTTTTGTGCACAATGTTTTCCTAATGTCAGGCGGTTGTCTAATAGTCAGCACCCCTTGAATTGGAGGTGGGTGTGCAAATCCCTGTTTTGTACGTTGTCCTAGCAGTCTTTCTTATTGATTCAGAAACACAATAAGGCCGATACAACATCCTCGCTTCTTACCATATGCGAGTTGAAGTCAATTGATATGCGTGAATAAATGCTGAGCTGAACGCTCTTGAGGCCAAGTACCCCCCCCCCCCCGGCGGGGGAGGAAAACGATAGAGTGTAAAAGTGTTTAGTATACTCTAGCCTGTGAATGTGAATGAGGGCCATGTGATGGAACCCAGATCGTCTAATAGTCTCATGATAACTTGAGGTCTTGCGCACAGGTCTAGATGCTTATATCCATTCGTGCTTTATTTATGCCGGTAGAGCGAGAGAGTGGGGGGCTCGTATGTTTAACAGAAGAGTGTGTTTATTGCAGAGGGAATTCCAAAATATTCCAAATATAAAGATTGCAATATTCACTTCTCTTCCAGCCATGCGTCGTGCGTATCCATGCTATCGGACGTGATGTGGTCTAACCGCTTCGGTTAGGAAGGTGCTAGGTATATCCAACCTAAGTAATCCATCCTCACTTCTGTCCACCTGATGTTACTATCAGGACGAAAGTAACGTGGCACTGTAAACCATGAGTTAACCAGATCAGCCACACAGAGAAATTAAATTACCTAAGATTCCGTTAAAAATGGCGGTGATGGTCGAGCAGTCAAGTCGTCAAGGTAGCCACCTGGGTTTCCTGAGTCTGAATCCCGCCACGACCGCCCACTTTCCCATTGTTTGTATTTCCCCAGGCAGCCTTTGTATAACCACTGAAACTTTATTGTACATTTCGATAATCCATAGAGAGAAAAAGAAGTTTGAAAACATTATTTTTCTTAATTTTTACCTCAATCACCAGTTTCAGCTGTCCCGCTTGTGCGGAAAACATATCCATGCTTTGTGTGATCCAGCATGCGAAACGCTTTTCGAGTGGTTGAATTCGGACATTATCCGCTAGTGATACCGAAAGGAATCTCAACGTATACTGCAAGTCAAAATTAAAAAATCACATTCACAGTCCAACAAATCAGACGGACTTGAGTTGTTCGACCAAAAGTCAGTCCGAATAAAGACAACAGGACAGGAAGCCGAAACAACAACAACAACCAAAACAACCTCCCGTGGTGACGGTGAAAAAGAAACCCGGAAATCCACAGAACCAGCGGAACTGTACATCGTAGTCCGATAATCGATCTGATGATGCTTGACTTAACTCCAGACAGTCTGACTGGTAAAGTTCCGCTCACCCTACCCTAGCACCAAAGTCACTGGTTGATCTTATGTGTTCCTATACAATACAGGTTCAACGGGGTCGATTTTTGTTCAGCCGTCTTGATCGCGAACTATGACTCATCGGCTGACACTCGGTCGGAGCCCTCGCTAGAGAAACAAATGCGGTTGACATCCTCAACGAGCGGATCAGGAGCGAGCGAGGAGGGGAAGCATGCGTGCACACACGCGAGAGTAAATCGAGGCACATATGCGAACGTATTTCTGGCACGGATGGTTCGGAACCGACCGTTCGAACTGGATAGTCTGGCAATCATACAGATTGGGCAAAAACTAGACCACCAAATCAAGTGAAATGCCATATGCATACACACAGTTGAACAAAAGATATGGTTGGTACCAAGATAGGGATATTCTGAATAAGAGCTAAATACTGCTAAACTGTCGCACTCAATGATTGCACTTTCTTCCCACGACAACCGAAAGAGTGGCCCAATCCAAATAGCATCTGGTTTCATCTGCCAGGGATGACACGCGAATGGAAACAATGGACAAAATGTGTATGAACACATCCATTGAGAATTGGAAAGCACTTCTACTTAGTAATAAATTTCCTAAATGAGGACACCAATGATGTCATCTTTTGCAGCTGTTGGGGGGAAAAGAACCATATGAATAAGGCTCATCTGTAAACCAGTCGATCATGGGTCCCTGATCTTATCTTCTTGCGACTTTCAAAAAGATGAATCATTCATGGGTTAAGGATAGAAACCTTCGGAGCAATTAACTCTCATTAACCGATCTACGATATCTTGTCCGGGTACTGTTTTAATCACTTGGAGTACTGTTTTTCGCATAACCATAGCAAAGCTGTTATGAGTTTCACAATCCTACTCAGGATAATAGTAGCCTCCTAGTCTGTGACCAAGTATTCCAACCCAGCAACGATCTCCAGAACTAGAATTTTTCACATAATGCAACTAGCCGGAAGATAGAGAGGCACATGGACATTATCGACTTGTTTCGGATTTTGGCAAATATGCCATCCCTGTAGGGTTCTACCAGGGGGTTGGGTGGCATTGTTCCAGCTAATTAAGTTCGTTTTGTGCACCATTCTCCAACTTAAATTCTTTTGGATCAGAATCCCTCATTCCCATCATCGAGTCGGATGCACATAAACTCATCCTAACAAATTGATAAAATGCGTCATCATTTGGCAACCCGCGAGATTGGAGGAGAAATAGATTCCTTACTGAAACATTGGCTTTACAACTTTCGTAAATATTACTCTGATGGGAAGGTATCCCTTCAATGATAGGACTGAAGTGCCCTCTCTGTCTGATTAATAGACAAATTAATATCGTCGCAATACTCCTGAAAAAGAGCATACTTGAGACCGACCAGGGGTGACCACTGTTATAACTGCAAGCCCCTGGTTTGTGAAGAACACAAGTCAATGAACTGGAACGGGCTAACTGTAATTGTGCCAACACGATTTACATGGTTAATGGGTCAAATACGGATCTATTATCATTGGATCTGTCAATACTGATAAGATCGATAGCGAGGCTGATTAGTCACGTGACATCCGATGCGAGCGAGCAGCACGATTTAAGCTCTCGTCATAATTACTATCAACGATATAAAGCACTAAATCAAACTAACTGTCCCCCCTAGCCAGTGACGCAGTCACTGGGCCCAACTCAACCATTTAAGAGGGTTCCCTACTTGAAACGCAACACGATAGGCAGAGCCAACTGGGTTGTGCTGCATTTATATCAGTGATACTGATTTATTGCTCCTTTTCCTCAATGGTCGAGGTTTTATTCGCTCATTTCGCGTGCAACAATTAATGCTTAACCCAATGTCATGCTGTTCACGAATCTATATAGTCCCATTCGACAGAAATGTCACAATACTCCAAATGAACTTTCAAACAAAAAAGGTTCCCTGGGAAGTTTTCAAACATATCTCTCATAGTTCCTGTTCTTATTGGATTATTGAGAACAAACAATTGGACTGTCCCCGAAATATCGAGTTTCTTTTCTATGAGAACCAGCACAATCCTAGTTCTAATGAATTGCTTCACGGTTTCTGTCATTTTGTATTCCTGTGTAAATTTTTTTTAATCCCACCACTCAACCTCTCCCCTCCTCGTCTATTCTTTAACTCACCACCCTTTGTGTGTTTAAAATGTTTTTAGCGTTGATTACACACAAAAGCAGAGCTAGATTAAAAATTATCAACGTGGTGCACACTGCCATTTGCACTACCAAACTGTGGGTCGAGACAGCTCTCAGGAAGCACATAAATAACAGTTCACTATGAAGCTAAAAATCAGTCAGTCTTAGAAATTTATCAATCAATATTCAAGAAATAATTCTCTTTAGAAAAAAATAGATCAATCTCACAATGATTGATATTGTCACACTTATTAAGCCACAGCTTCTGATTTCTGTCGCAAGATGGAGTGCAAACGCTAAATCTTACCAGAATTAAACATTAGAAACACTCAGTCGAATACCAACTGCGAGAAAAACATAGATGATGGACAGAAGTAGCAAAAAATCTGTGGGGAAAACAGCGATGGATCTTCAAGAATTGACTCAGCGGAGAATAAAAACACTACTTAAGTGTTATCCTATTCCAGTTTACAAATAAATTTTGGACTATAATGTTTTATCTATGACAAGAAAAAACGGAATCCTGTTTATTTTTTCAGTTAACCCGGTCGATAAATTATTCTGTCTGTACTGGTGTTTTTCAGTGCCACCGACAAATGTCTTCGCGCATCTGAAATTTTCGTGTGCAAATCTACCTACTCATAAGTAGCATAAACGTGCATTCAAGTTTTTCTTGGGCATTCACATTTACCGCCGTTTCGAACCCTTTCACAGAAGAGAAAAACGGTACGGCTGCGCCAGAGAAACGTTCATCCAACGTTGGTGCTGAACGAATGGGAAATTTGCGGGAGAAATTTGAAAAGGGTCAAGTAACAGAGAAAAAGAAAAAGAAAAGTGCACCTAAAATCAAATATGCCGGTGCAGATGCTGTCAAGAGCAAGTTCATCGAGACCGCCACGAAATCTACCAAGGTTGCCGAAAACGGACCAAAAGGCCCGAAAGAATTCACTCCTCCACCTGAGGGTGTGGCTGTGGGTGTTTTAGAAAGTCAACCGAAACCTAGAGCGCCAGATGTGGTGACCGCGGATGATACCTTGGAACCGGTGGATCTGACTGTCATCGGGGAAACCACCAAAAATTTGAGAGCCAAGTTCAAGCATTTGGAGGAAACTGGAGGACAAGTATGTTACTTTTCTTATATAGACTTGAATGTTTGGTAAGCATAAATAACAAAGACACAATTCTTTTCAATTGGTTCCATTTAGTTCACTTTTATTTCCAAACTAATTTGAGTCTCATGAAGAAACACTTTCGACGGTTTAACCAGACAACTGTGTTTTTGATCTAAAAGCTGGACGCGTGTTCCAAAATCTGTTGCATCGCTCCAGTAGTTTTATCGTTATGATTTGAAGGTTATCCGAGTTGACTCAGTGTACTGATAACCATTCACATGCAGTACACTCCAGTTTAGTTATCATACAACCAATATTATGCTCCAATCGTGAGTTTACGCTTGTGAAATTTGAATTAATTAACACGTCATTCCAGTGCAGTTGTTTTCCATCAGTTTATCCGGTTTGAATTTGCTATCCTAAGTCTATTGAGTAGACTCGGTTATGGGGTTACATAAGCAAAGCCGAAATGATAGTGCAGAAGGTAGCTCAGTGTTCATAGGCCACCTGGTGTTTATTTTGGGTTTATTGAACAAGTTGGTATCGATGTCTACTGTATGCAGCACACTGGATGCTATGGGCTCTTTCAGTGTGGTAGGCCGATTTTCGTGGTGACATTGGTAGTCAAGTTTATCGGTCAGAAGGCATATTAAATTTCATCACCTCTTGTCTTGTGCCAAAGAAGATTTGGGCTTTTGTCCACCCCCCCCCCCCAAACCCNGAAAGAAGTTCGTGTTCATCCCACACTGAAATGTTCCCGTTGATCAATAGTCATCTGCAGTCATCTGCTAGTTTCATTAATTATCTTTTGACTCCTCGAAGGTTACGTTCCGCACTTGGGATGTGAATCGGATAATCCAGTGGATTAGGATTAAAACTTACGGCAAGGACACCTCAAATTCATTCTCAACCCCCGCGGGACCATCAACAATTAGAAAAGCGACGAAAAAACGCGGGGTTTTCAGTCGAAAACTTGGTGCTTGGTAGAAAATTCCTGAGCAAGAAGAGTGATTTGCTCCCTTTAGTTTACTCTAAACGGCATATCTTGACTAGAATTCCTCTGCTTTCATCTCGCGGTCACTAATCAATCAGGATCAAGCGCATTGCACTGACTGAGTAGAGTGATCGCCTTATGTCTAGGAAAAGCTAACATCTGAAGGAGTTACACACAGCATTCAAAAATCAACTTATGAGTATCTCGCTCCTCACCGCATCCATCTAGTAAGCTTAACATAGACTGACCGAGCTTTGGCTGTCTAATGAACTAGACCAAGTAAATATTTCCCGGAGCTGAGGATTCGAAATTTGAGGGTGAAATGCACGTCGGAGAGACAAGGATCTGGATGACTTGATAGAAGGTATTTTACTTCGCTTAATTGGTGCGCAGCAACAAACACGAAATCTGTTGTGTGCTTTTATTCCTGCTCTGTCTACTCAATTATTTGCAATCTTGCATTCGCTTACCTTGGTGATATATCTGTCGATATTGGGTAGACGGAATTCATAACAGTAAGACTCAAACCTCACATTTTATCAAACGTCCATGAAGTTACATCAAAATCCAAATTAGGTAAATGTGGGTAATTTTCAATGAAAATCGTGACCTAACGAACATCCACATTCGGTCGTTTCAACCTTGTTTTAGAAGAACTATATACCATAGGTTTTTGAATGAGCATTTAAGAGATAACAAATCGTGTCAAATTGGGCTCATCTTCTCTGTTCAAATGATTGGACCACATATTGCACACATTCGGTTCGCAGATGGCTTTAGCATGTGGAATTAGGTAATGTTATGCATTATTCCAGAATAATCCCATTGTAACATCAAAACACGAGTCCGAAGGCGAACAACTGTTTTCGAATGGTTCATAAGCGTACCTCTACAGATCATTTAAGGGATTATTGTTAGTGCGGACACATTTTCACGCTGGGTCGAAAGGTCATTTGGGATGGGGAGAGGGGAGGGGTGATGTAAGCCCTGTGTCTGTGTTCGGGTGAGACTGATTGTGATTGGAGTGGTGGTGGTGATGTTAATGATCACTTTGGGGTCAGGGTAAGTGGAGAGCTTGAACTAATCGCTTTTGTGCACATAGTTCTGGTGCGAATATGCGAATACCTGTCGCCTCAGCGGTGGCTAGTGTATGTAAGCGCACTGCTTTGGAGGGATTGGGGGGGGCACACGATAGATTACGTTGAAAGCCGATTCCGGTCTAATTTGATAGCCTCTATCTACTAGATGACCAAGAATGGCACTTCCTATGCTTCCTGTTACTCCTTGTTTTAACCAACGTTGGCAGTGCTCCTTATTCCGTTGGGATAGTTGTCTCGCCGTGCGGCCAATGTACGTTGCATTACAANGTAAGCGCACTGCTTTGGAGGGATTGGGGGGGGCACACGATAGATTACGTTGAAAGCCGATTCCGGTCTAATTTGATGGTCTGTATCTACTAGATGACCAAGAATGGCACTACCTATGCGTCCTGTTCCTGCTTGTTGTAACCAGCGTGGGTAGTGTTTCTTCATCCGTTGTGATAGTTGCCTCGCCGTGTGGCCAATTTACGCTGCATTACAAACGCACCGGAAAGAGTAGATAACCATAGAAGTGGTCAGTGTAGGCAGTCTATCTTTGTGGCTAGTTCTGATGATGGGCGAGCCTGTAAACACACACGATAAACGAGCTGCGTTGTAGGTCCGCTTCACTGCATGCCTCGGACGTTTATTCAAGAGGTCTGATATAGCATCTCCTTGAAAAGGTAGACGAATGAATAGCTTCTTCTTTTGGGCTTCATGAACCTGTTCGGATTGTCAACTTTCCTGAAAGTTTCTCTCACTGAACCGTTCAGGATAACCGTTTTCTCTGAGGACGTCCTTAATTTTTTTGTTAGTTCTTCATTTACCACATTTTCAAAGCAGATCCTTCGCGCTCATGTGAGACTGAATTAAATTTCTCTTCCATCTGAGTGGGATGAAGCTGTAAAAGTGTGTATATTGTCCCGTCCAAGTTGGTTTTCTATATATTCGACGCTTTAGCGAATCATCATCTCTTCGGAGGAGTGCCACATCTAGGAAGGCCAAATTACCATTTTCTTCAGTTTCCAACGTGAAATGAATTGATTCGTGGGCGTCGTTGAATCTCTGGAGCAAATTTGTCGTGCGCCCACCTTTCGGTGTGAGANTTGCTCTATTTCTCGCTTCAACACTGTGCTTTCTAATTTGGCCATAAATGTCTGCTAACAATAGGCCTAATGAGGAACCGATGGCCACTCCGTCTAATTGACGGTATAATTTTCCATCAAATAGAAATTGAACATTGTATGTACATCTCAGTGGTATCTCCTTCAGGTTCTTCATGTGTATTGCTAAGTGTATTCGTCCAGTTTCAATGTGGCGACAGAGGAAACCGATGGTTTCTAATAGTGGTACGTTTGTGAACAAGGACGTTACATCCCGAGAAAACATTTGATCATTCTTTACGTTCCGCTGGCTGATAATGTTCACAAACTCAAATGTGTCTCGTAAGCTGTATTTTGTGAGCTTTGTGCGCACTGTTTCGAGAATCCATACGAACCACTTGGCAGTCTAGTGGTACGGTGAGTTAACCATGGATGGAATTGGTCTTAATGGTGTGCCAATGTTGTGATCCTTGGGCAACCCGTAAAGGCATGGAATGGTTG